TACCAGGTTCGTAGACTGTTTGAGGAACACTAACCCAACATGTGGGTTAATTACTGGGCCCTTAGGGAGATGTATTGTCTGACGTTTTCGGTTGAGGACTTTCGCACGAGAGGCAGGCTTTGGGGTTCATGAGGCTTGAGGGTTTAGGGTTCAGGGTTTAGGGAACGGTTCGCGCGAAGTCGGAATGATGCTCATGTGATACAAGATTAGTATAAGCCCTATAAACCCTTCAATTCCTAAAGATCCTGAGCCCTTAAACCCTAAACCCTCAAACCTCAAGCCTCAGACCCGTAAACCTAAAGCCTCAAACCCTTAAGCCCTAACCCACTCTTCAACTCAAGTGCCTCGAGCGGGACATGGAAGAACGATGTGCTAGGCTATATCAAATCCGAGTTCTCCATGACGTTGAGTGAAAGGCACACAACCTTCAACACGGTTTAGGGTTTACCGTTGGCGGGGTTCAGGGTTTTTTCCGACAAGGACTACTCGAGACCCTGAAACAAATCGTTGTCGCCCGAGGGACAACACAGCAAGTGGCGTTCAAGCTTGCATGTAGGCAGAGGAGACCCGCTACAGGTACAATGTTCCTTAAGCTGGCACCAAGACTTTTTGAATCGAAGGAATCATGGAAACCTTACAAAACAAACTGGCGCCCTGGTAGGTCTACCCCTGCTGGATAGAACCCAGCGTCTGGGCCGTCTGCATTCCCAGCTAAAGCTCGAAAGCCCAAACGCAAAGACCCACTGCAAAACATGTAATAAGGATGCGTGACAAAACCCCGTGCTAGCAAGGGCACTGCTGACCCTCTGTCTGGCACGGGTTTGAGTTCCATTTTCTCGCGAGGGAGCCAAACTCAAGTTGATAGGCGCCACTTCGGCGTGATACGTGGAATCCCGATGGCGCCGGCCACTAGGGTCACTGCTATATACCTAAACCCTTCTCCCCAAACCGAACACCCCAGCTCTGCTTCAGGATTCTAGAGTCGATATAACCCCAAAAATCCCACGTACTGTTATGGCGGATACATTCCCAAGCCAGAATAACTATGAATTCCTGATAAGAACCCTACATTCCAAGTAGAACACCCGCAGCCCCATCTCTCGAATCCTAAAGCCTAAACCCTGAATGACTTCACGGATTAGGGCTTAGGGACTTGACCCTCAAGCGGGGAACTCGGGGGTAGCTTGGGATTCCCAACAAAAAAAAAGTACCGTATGTTAACCGCATCTACCAAGTACGTCCGTGTTAGAGTTCCAGACCTGACTCCGGATTCGATCCATGCACACACATTGTTGCTCCAGAGTGCCGGCTGAGAATCGGGGGAGTCTTCTGGAACTCGAAGGTTCAGGGAGCAGTGGTCGTTTGGTTGCTAGTAAGTAGCCGGCTTGTTTTCTGTAGCTGAAAGACTTCACGGTGACCCGTTTATGAATCAGGTAGAGTACCATTATAAGTCCTTGCATCTCAAATGCGGCGAAGCTGTATCAACAACCTGTCAGTCTGGGTCAGTTGCCCACTCCGGGGTTCAGGGCTTAAGGTTTACATGGGGTCTAGGGACTCAGTACGCGATACGGCCCCCCAACCCTCCCTCAAGCCCTGGACCATCGACACAAAAGCGCTGGATGCCGAACCCTCGACCTGAACTGTGATCGACCTTCTGCCCTGCCCCCGAAACCCGCAACATGAAACTCAAGAGCCCTAGACCCTAAACGCCAAGACTTGCACCCCATGCCAGGAATCGCTGAAACCCCAATCCTCAAAGATTGGAGCCGACATAGCCCTACTACATGTAAGGCGGGCTCCTACGCGTCCGACCCCTACAATAGTCAGGATTTTATGCGGCATTAAATTAGATTAAAGGCTTTACTGGTTTCTCAGACGGGCCTGAAGGGCCTTCATACGATAGGCCTTGCAAGATTTAGACTAGGCATATCGGTGCTCTGACCCTAGAAGTAGTTGAAGGAAATCCAGGGAATAGCATCAGGAAGTCCTCTGATTATGGGTTTAGAATCGGTGGCACAGGTTGAAGTCCGTTGATACGGTTTACTAGGGTTTAGGGGTTTAGGGTTTGCTTGCCGGAAGCTGTGGCGCAAAGGTTCGCGGGTCTGACGAACTGATCATGAGCACAAAAAGATTTGTCAAGCTACCTGCATCCAGAGGCATAAAGAAGCTTAATCCACAGCTCCCTTTAGTACAAGGGCCTTAAAAAGGCAAAAAAGCTAAATCTGGGGGTATGCTATTTTATAGCTTGAGTGAGGAACCCGGAGGGACAATATTGCAAATTTTCAGGCTTCTGTATTATGCATGTCAGCACTGCCCGGATGCTTCTGTTACTCCCTGCCGTCGACAGTTGGTGGGCGTCAGGATCTGGCAGCAAGGAGTTTGCGTTCAGGGTTCATCGTTCATAGATTGAAATATAAGGGCGCTTGAGGATTATAGGGTTTGGGGTTGTGAAGTCGGGAAAATCCAGCACTCTGTCTCCCGGACAGCTTCTCAGATGAGGTCGGCCACGTTCATGGGCATCTCATCAATCTGCGTGGAGTAGAACCTCAGGCTGGGAGACTTGGGATTCTCGAGTCTAGGGTGTAGGAGTTTAGGGTCAAGGGCCCTAAACGCGAAATTCCCAGGCTGGTGGCTTTTTCGCGTCTGGGAGCTGCTGATCTACGTGGTGCGGAACGAGGTGTGACGGCCTTTAAGTGTAGCGAGATTGCAGACTTGAAGTTTAGGTGGGCGTCCGGAGTGTTAGCTCGTCGTGCTCATGTTACACTACGTAGCAAAGAGTCTGCACGACGGAGCCGAGAGCCAAAACCCTCCAACGTTATAGGCTTCCTGATAGTAGGCTCTTCAGAAGCATTGTCTATCCTTGGGAAGCAAGCTTATTTGGGAATTACCAGGGCAACGGTGTTGAAGACCCTTTCACCTGTATCACTAGCAAGGACGTCGGAGACGTCACGGCTAGCGTTCACCTCCACCGTGACGAGATGCATGGCCAAAATATCGCGAATAACAGTGATGAGGTCAATAGCAACATTCCGAGCAGTGTTTATGGTGGTATGCTCCTGCGAGCGAACCCTATAAACTTTTGGAAGTGACACTGCGTTGTTGCTGAGTTGATACTGTATAATCGTCCTAGCAACAAGCTGCCGTGCCACGATGCATCGGCTCAAGTCTTGTAGCTTCATTGGCTTCAGACTTTGGGGCGTTTGAAGATCTGTGGCATGGGGGGGAGGAGGCACGGGTGGCGGAGATGAGCCACAACCTTTCGTCGTAAGGCTCTTCTGACAACACACGCAGGAAGAAACACCCTTTGGTTTGGAGCTACGGTGCGTTGCAAATTTATCTACTAGTACCCGTCTATTTGTGAAAATATCTTTCTGCATATATATATATATTATATATATATATATATGTGTAACATATATATATATGTATATATATCTATCTATATATATACAATATAAATATAAATATAAATATATATATATATACACATATATATATATATACCTATATATATATATATAACACATATGTATATATATATATATATACATATACACATACACACGTCGCCTCTAGCTCAGAAGCCCTCAGAACCAATGTTAGGCTTCTGGGTTCAAGGATTTAGGCTTTAACAGGTTTACTTAGTGGTTAGGGCTAGGGGCTTAGGGTCTAGGGTTGTTCAAGGATGATGAGGCTTTAGCTGCAGGTTCTACAATTGGTAGGTTTTGTGGTTTGGACTGGCTCGCAAAACAACCTAAACATCCTAAACCCTCAAGCTACACCAAAGCATTGGGGCTAGAATCGGGGGTGCAGTATTGGGTTTGAAGAAAACAGCTGGAAAGCAGCTTTTCAACCGCCAAGATGCTGCTCAATATCGCGCAGGATTCGGATGTCATCGTTCTTGACCTTGGGTTACACCCTAAAATCTTAACCCTAAGCCCTAGCATTTAAAGATTCGGGATCCGGAGCTTTTGGTTCAGCGTTTTGGGCTTGCTGGGGCGACTGAGCCAACTGCTCAGGCGATTGAGAGTTCGGATGCAACCATGCCAACTTTCTGGCCAAAGGTGCCCGGAGATAACCATTCACATAGGCGCCTTAAACTATATAGATTCCTGTTTCTTGTATATAATAATAGTGTCGGAGTTCTATTCGGAATCCTAAGGTATGATCTGGTTGATCATTAACCCCACTCTCTTATAAATTTGCCAAGGGCATTGATCTGCGACCTGACACGCGCTGGGATTTGCGTCTGGCAAATTTCGCCGGGGTGGGGAACAAAGGTCCTCTAAGAAAAGAAGCCTGAATGATTATGCATACTACTCCCTGAGGTCTTTGACTAAAGTTCTTGTCGGTACTAACAATCTACCCCCTCCAAACCCTATTCAAATTGTATAAGGCTCCGTATAATAGGTCGAGGCAGAGAAGAGAAGAGAGGAGAAAGAGCGCTAAGGCTGCAACGGAAAGGGATAACCCCCAGTCTGCCGCAAGCCTAAACCCCTCATCCCCAAACGAAACTCAAGGCCGTTTTCGGGCTGTGTTCGATCCCAGCACGGTGGACCAAGAATGCTCGCTATCCCTATACCATGTTGAGTCAATGGGGTGCGCTCCGCTAAGGCCCCCGTTTAGGGTTTAGGGAATCCTGAACCCACGGAGATCCTAGCGCCTGACGATGCAAAAACCACCCCACAGCCCTACGGGAGGGATCCTCAACCAGATCCAGAACCGTTTAGGGCTCAGGGCATTATCCCAAACTGTTGGGCCTAAGACCTAAGAGCCCCAGCTACCAGGTCCGAACGACTAGTCCTGGTAAAACTGCATTAGTTAGTTCTCAGTTTCAGTATAACTATTCTTATCACATACCCCAAAACCCCATTCCAACTATAGAGGCCGCCTTCGACCCAACACCGCAACTCCGTGGTTGAACCGTCATAAGAACCCGCGAAACAAACAGGACAAACACCCACATCGGAACCATGTTCTTCCGGCAAAGGCCCCTGGATTCAGGCTGGAGCGAAGTTGATGGCGACACCCTTCCTTCCGAAACGGCCAGAGCGACCGATTCGGTGGATGTACAGCCTGAACTTCTTCCGGGAGCTCAGGGAGTGTGCACATACATGTTCTGGATATGCATAGATGCATATGTGTATAAATGTGTGCGTATTGATTCATATAATTGTAGGTTTCGTGTTTAGGCTATCTTATTTCGATTTAAATTCAGGTTTCAAGGCAAGGCATTCAATTTGAGATTTGGGTTTAAGTTCAAAATTCATTGGCTGGGAATAGACTGATTGGCTTTAGGGCATGCAGCTTAACTGTCTCGAGTTCCCAAGTTCAGACCTATAAAACTAGCCTTTCACTCCTGGTAGGAGTTTTCTGTACATACATTCATACATACACATACATACATTACTAATTACACTACATTACATACATTACGTTACGTTACGTTACGTTACGTTACATTACATTATATTACAT